TGCTCCTTTGTTCAAAACCTATTGGATTTTGTTTCTTCTGTTGAACACACAGGAATATATACTGAATAATGCTGGGAGAAAAAAGTCAATCCTACTATGGATGTGTTCAACTGAAGAAATATATTAATATTTTACATCTTTTTACGCTTTACACCATTAATGGTGAGCAGATTTTCATTTTTTGATGAACTGATGAATACGTAAAAATGGGGCCATGAAGCATCCATGTACTACTTGTTGATTCAAAGTCTCGGTGATAGAACTTCACAGGCTCTTAAGAAAATATGGGAGAGAGACTTGAATGTGTCACTTGATGACGAAGAGTGACAGGAAATTTTAAACGATATTAAAACAGCATCTAGGGATGCTAAAATACGCCTTATACAGTTTAAGATTACACACGGTTTTTACTGGACTGCTTTTTAAGCTCGGGTTAAAATACACACTTATTGTTGGAGATGTAAGACCGAGAATGGTGATTTAGTTCATGCTCTTGTACAAAAATGTAAGATTTCTGGAAAAGAGTTCATAAACACATTTGCTTGGTTTTAGATTTTAATATTTCACCATGTCCTTGACTGTTTATACCATATGTATTTACATTAGATGTCACCTACACTAATGAAGGAATGCTTCAATAGAGCTGCCATTTTAGTACAGGGTAGCACTCCTTTGAAATGAATGTGAGACCAAGGTGTAGTGGAGGACTGGCCATCCAGAGCCAGAGACATATACACATATATAACTATATCTTTGATTGAGAGTTTTCCAGGTGGTCAGTACGTAAAAATATTTTTTTAATTACAAAAATTATAATTTTACATTACTTTTCTACATCGATGGATAAGTAACTGCATCTTTTTATCATATTTTATGTACATTGTTTGCTTATTTTATTTAAACAAGCTAGCATAAGCCTGGTATTTAGTGCAAGTTGGTGCTACTTTCCTTATGATCAGTGCAGTAAGAGACTGTATTATCATTAATAACGTGACTTGTTTACCACAAAGTTCATAACATATAAAAACGTAAAAAAATGAAATTTTACATATGAAATGTTTTGCCTCTGTGCTTCGTTTTCTTTGTTTGCTTGTTATTACATCCATACAAAGTGCTAAAGCCCAGCATCTTCACATTGGCTTTAGTCTTGACTAGTGCGGTGGAATAACATTTGTTCTGGGAGCACTGTACAAATGTGGTGGTGCTATTGATGCATGCTCAACGTCCGTATGTCATATCTAGTCCATATATATCTATGTATTTATACTAGGTGGTTGGATAGACAGCGAAATAAAAGATAAAAACATAAAATCATGGGTCCAAGCCAGTTTACCGATTGGCAGACAAATAATTCTCAAAAGCTGTAAATCATTTCCTTTAAGAATGGGCAGAATAACTTGCTAGAGTGGCCACATTTGAAAAAATGTCTTATAAACAAATGGACAAGCTAAACCTATACTATAAAAAATGGTCCAAGTACTTATCCTGTTTGGAAATGGAACAGTAATAAATACTGATTGTAACATTGTGTAAATGTGATATGTTATTGACCGAACTTACCTGTTCATTTTTTTTTTTTTTTTTTTTTTTTCTCTTTATTATATAAAGATGAAGGCTTTAACTGTATTTAATGATACCCACGCCAGGACCTTAAAGTTGTAGTTAGGGATTAGTTTGGGTTGGGTTTGATAATAGGGTAAAATGTTGATTCTTTACAGAGTTGTATTTTGTATTCCATTCTGAAATTTGCCAGACAATCAATAAAATTGTTAATCACTAAATATAGTAAAAATGACTCTAATAATCCTGCAAGCTCACCACTGAAACCCAGGTTTAAATAAATATTTAATTATTTAAATGTAAATATTATTTTAAAGCATAGGGACTTTGTGAATCAGACTTGTTCCAAAACCTCTCTATATATATTTTAAGTAGGCATGGGACGATAACCGTTTTCAAGGAATACCGTGGTTTGGAAAAGTCAAGGTTTTAAAACCGCCAAAAAGATTTTTTATGTCGTTCCTATGGTATATGTAAGATTTCTTTATTTCTTTCTTTATTTTTTTTAATTTTTTTGGACAACAAATCTCCAGCAGATATCCAAAATACCTTGTATTCAAAGGGAAAAAAAACTTTTGTTTTTTTAAACCAGGCAATTAAAAATATATTTTATTTTAGAGCAGTAGTCACAATACTGTCAAACCGTGATATTTTTATCCAAGGTAATCATACTGTCAGAATCTTACAGTGGTCCATCCCTAATTGTAAGTACATACCTTTTTCCTCTGTATGTCCACACATGTAGCGGAATGACAACAAAGCTCGACTTTACTTGACTTACAGTGTTCAGCCTACATCTGTTTAACTTAGCATAGACTTCGAGTGTCATGTTGTTTCATAAATGAACATTGGGATGCAAGAATTGATAATAGTCTTGTATAGTAACCGATGCCATGTTTGAATGCTGCACCACATTTTGACAGATAAACCTTTTTTTCATTTTCCCCTTTCTTTTCTTTTGGATACGCATGACCGGTTCAGTCATATATGTAATGTTGACTAATAGGAGCTCATTCTTTCGTAAATAGCTTTGAAGCACAGCAATGAAACAGAGAAGACCATACTGGCAATTTAGCTGGAAATAGAGAAAATATTATGGAGCTATGCCAAAAATATCCTGCCTTTAACAGATGTCTTCAAGGTTTGTTTACATCCTTGTTTATTATGGAAGTCAGTCGGTAGTCCTGCCTTCTCAATGACATCACTGACTTCAACAACAATGACTAGTGGTGATTGGTGGAGTAATTGGTTGAATAAGCAACATAACATGCAGTGGTGGAATGAGTACTAAAAATCCACACTCAAGTAAAAGTACCATTACTTGCCCAAAAATGTAGTGCAAGTAGAGTAAAAGTATCTGTTGTAAATATTAAAATATGAGTAAATAGTAGCTCTTTTAAAAGTACTCAATAGGAGTGAGTATTGCACTGTGAAAAGTTGATGCATTTACATGCAGTTTGTTCAGAGATGTGTAAACATAACATTCTGTACTGCATTTAGTGAGCTGTATATATTCGTCTTTACTTTCAACCTTTCTTCCATTGTTTGTTTGTTCTGTCCTTCCTTCCTTTATTAATTTGTTCGTTCCTTCCTTCATTCATTTGTTCCTTCCTTCGTTCCTCCCTTCATTCATTCGCTCATTTATTAGTTTGTTCGTTTGTTCATATTTTTGTTCCTTTCTTCATTAGGTTCTTTGTTCATTCATTCATTTGTTCATTCCTTTTTTCCTTAGTTTGTTCAGTTCTTTCTTGAATCCTTCCTTCATTCATTGGGTCCTTCCTTCATTTCTCCCTTCATTTGTTCGCTCATTTGTTCATTCATATTTTGTACCTTCATTAGGTCTGTTGTTCTTTCATTCATTCATTCATTCATTCATTTCTACCTTCCTTAGTTTGTTCAGTGCTTTCTTGAATCCCTCATTCTTTCATTTGGTCCTTCCTTCATTCATTAGTTTGGTCCTTCCTTCATTCTGTCCTTCCTTCCATTCCTTGTTCGGCCCTTTCTTCATTCAGCCCTTCCTTCCATTCTTCATTCATTCCATTTAGTCATTGTTTAAGGTTGTTTAGTGATTTCAGTCATCATAAAGTCAACATCCTTCATTTTTTCATCATGCAGACATGCAGTCTATAAACAGTCTCTGGGTCATTGCGTGTAAAGATTTTAGACATCTTCATGGACATTTTTAATGCTTTCCAAGGGTTTGCTGCATTTATAAAGCGCCCATGTCTTGAAGTTGTTCAGTATGATGTGATTTACTTTTTATGTGCGGTTTGATTGGACTAATTTTTCTACTTTAGCCAATCACCATAGACAAAAAGAAATACTGACTGCAGGTTGAAGGAAAATAGTGGAGTAAAAGTACAGATACAGCACTAAAAATGTATTCAAGAGAAAGTAAAAGTACACATTTTATAAACTACTTAGCAAATTACAATTCCTTAAAAAAACTACTCAATTACAGTAGTTTGAGTATTTGTAATTTGTTACTTTACACCACTGATGACATGTTAGAATATGACAGTATATTTACCAGCCAAAGCCCTATAATTAAAAAGTAGCTTAGCAGGCAAAAATGTGTGAACATGTCATTAAATATACCTTCAAATAAAAAATTCTGCTTGACTATTTCTTTTTTGTGCATCAATTAAAAATAAAATTAAAAATAGGCCTATGTAACAGTTTTAAATCTCATAACTCAAAGGCTCCAAGATCGGTCAGGCCTGAGTTTCACTCATTAGTGTGTAGAGAGTTGGAAATGAAAATCCCGGACTGGATTTTGAGTCGTGTGATGATAGCGGGAAGCAGAAATCTGTCACTCTGCTCCATTCATAAACCGTTCCAGACCAGCTTTCAGTATGTGTGTTGCTTGGCGACACACACAGCTTGACATTTCTTTTTGGAGCTACTTTCGTTGGTGGAGAAGAAATAAACAAACTAATCTTCCATTTTTTCTGGAATGTAAGTTACTGGATGTTAATTGCTGTAGATGTTTTTTCTTTTTTCTTTTTTTTAAAGAATTGTTTTAAATAAACATTGCACTAGCTAAAAAAAATCGTGCATGTATGCATACATATGGCCAAATTAGTCATGTTGAAATCATTATTTTATTCATCATTACATATTAATGCAGACACTGTTTAGGGTGCACACGTATACAGGTTTAATTAAATAGCCAAGTAAAATCCTACATATAACCCTTGTACTTGTTTATAAAATACATTTAATGCGCCAAAGTGAGTCCTCCCAGCTATTATTACCAATCAACACGCACGTTTCTAATTTAGAACGTGAGCAAATGGCTTTGTGTAGCAGACATGAAGCAGTTTGCTCATCTGTATGTGCAGTTGCTAATAACGGTGAGCGCTGTCCAAGGTGCTGCAGCGCTCAGCCCCGCCCCGCCCGTCTCCATCACACACACTAACCGGGAGACACGTGACGCGATGTGCTGACAGTCCCTGGCAAAGCTCGCCTGAGAAACACATCGCACCTTGTCTTGCACACAGAACAGGGAGCGATATCTTCAATTTTATATATATGCCGAGAAAAAAAAAACTTGTCATTTACACAGGAGAATTTCGTAAGCATGAACCGTTTTGTACTGAATATTAATTGCTCGTTGGCTCCGTTTTGATTTTTGATTTTGATTTTTAATCTTTTGGGACTTTGGAGATCCGCATACGCAATTTTTATCGTTGCCATTTCTTATGCTCGTTCGACACCGATGCAGTGATTTTTTTCTTAAATATACATCAGATGAAAGCCTGAATCGATGTGGAGGAAATCAACCAGGTTCGTCGGTGAGGTTGAGCTGTTAAGGGGCGCACGATGGTCCATTTCTCAAGGTAAAATTATTAAGATTTGCTTAAGTGTGATTTGAAGGCGTATTTAAGGTTATTTGTGAGAGTTATGGGTTGCGCTTCACGCGCTCAATGCAGTCACGCGCAGGTGAGATGATGCAGCTGGGCTCGATTTCTGTTTAATTGTGCCGTACTACCGATTCATTCGTGTTTACGGCTGGCCTTTGCTTCATCTTAAGCGATATTTGATGACTCCCTATTTTCCTGTCTTCCGCGTCGGGAAGAGAGGCGTGTTAAAGGTGTCTTTCTCTCAGTTCGAGCAGATGGTGCTTGATTATTGGTTATGTTTTGCGCATCTGAGTCATAGCCGATGTTAATCAAGGGAAAGGGAGAAAAGGGATTGACGAAATGGTTAGTGTTTGAAAGTTTTGATTTCAAACCATATATGCGGTTCAGGATCACGCCTAGAGAGACTGTAAATCTTATGCGCGAGGCTATTAGGATGATTGTATTGTTCCAGATCTACAGTACTACCCGATAGCGAGACATTACCGTAATCGTTTCGCGAATACGGTAAATAAGACTGCCCTCCTGTACATTAATCGCGCATGATATGTTGTGTAAGATCCATCTGTGAAAGGGGTCGGTTGTTATCTTGCTAAGTAGCCCCCTTGTAAACCTGACAGTAAACACATAGGAATTCGAGCATGAAATGATTGGTTGAGATCAGTTGACAGACAGCCCAGAGGCCAGACAATTGCAGTGTCATTAATGCTTAAGAGGCGCGCGATAAGCCCCCGCCCTGGGCTCATTTTGGGATGCAGGACTTGAACTAAGCGAGGTTCACTGAATCAAACGAGATTTCCCCATTACACACTAGCGATGTTGCCGAGCGTTTAGGTCTTTCTATGGTCTACCGATTGTCTTGCTGGAATAATTGAAAAATATCATTGCCTTTACATCTGGCTTGTCTACATACGATGCAAAATGTTATTGATTGTTATAGGAAAGAATGCAAAATACCACAGTAAGGACTGGCTAAGTGTAAGGTGCCTTACATTGCCATGTTACCTTTTATTATTTTATATTTAAAAATGCAATCCAATACAAATATGTTTAATATTAAATATACATTTAAACAACAGATGACATCACATTTAATGTTTGATTTTAGTGATACATATATATACATATATATATATATATATATATATATATATATATATATATATATATATATATATATATATATATATATATATATAATACAGAATTATATAATATAATATAATTCTGTATTTTTAAATTATAATTTTAAGTGTAAGTTGTTGGCTGTATTTAATGTAATCTTCTGTCATTTAGTTTTTTTTGGGGGGGGGGGGGGGTGATAGAGTTGACGTTGGGTTGTGTCATTAAATTTTTGTACAAAATTGGTAACAAGATCATTTTAAATGCTTTTTTCTTAAATTTTTTTCAATTGTGTTTATTATTTGCAAAAAAAAAAAAAGATTTAAAAATTTGTTACAGTGCATATTTACAGTTATATAAATGATCAGATAATATGTATATTGTGGAAATGCCATGTTAGCTTAGTATCCTCGCTTAGTATAACAAGTTTCATGAAGCAGAATGCTCCATGTGATGCCATGACAACATCGCTGTGTTTTTTTTACAGTAGGTTTGTTACTGTACATATAAGTATACTGCACATACAGGTTTGTAGCAGCTGTAACATTTCATGGTATTAAAGAGCAAATGTCATGAGAGGAATTTTCTTTAAAGTGAACATAACATGGCTTTAAACACATTAAGTATTGCTAATTAAATAAGACAAATGAATGTGCTTGCTATTTTGTAATGGAGAACATCTTTGTACCTTTTTATTTGTCAGTCAATCTTTCTCTTATATTTATCCCAATGTACAGTAGATCTGAAACTGAGAGGTTAGGCTTCAAATTAAGGTGATTTAAGTATTTATTTAAAAATAATTATTTGTAAAGAATATAACAAGTTTCATGAAGCAATGAAATGCTGGTGAGTTTTATGCTTCATGAAACATTAATTGTAATCATTTAGAATTATAGTCTGAAAAAAACAGAATTGCAAATCAACGGTACTGTTGTAATTGAAGATTAATGCAATCTATATCAGCGTGAAATTGGTAGTTTCAATATCAATATCACTATGAAATTGTGGTTTTGTGTATGCTTCGTTGAACTGAGTGTATGCTGTCTATCTTTTTGTTAAAAGGCCATCTTTTTTGCACTTTTCCTTTAAAGAAATTAAGATTTTACTTTTTTATTCTTTTCAGATAATGGATCAATCTGTCAAAACGGATGTGAATTGAAGGTTTGTGAGCACTGAGGGCCCTACTAGGGCCTGCACGTTAACACTGCAAAGTGTACATTTTGCCTACTTTTCATTAGTGCTGACTTTAGGCCTACACAATGACTTTTAACTAGACTTAAATGACCCTGACATTAATGACCCTACATAGCCCTAATGAACTCTCTGCTGTACAGCACTACACATGGCTGTAATTTATATAGATACTCTGATGACTTGGCCCCGCTGTAGCACACCTGGATCCCACTGAAGGTTTTTTTTTTTTTTTTTTAAAGCAGAGCAGTCTTATTTTTTTTTTACTGTTTGGGCCTTAGCGAGTCTCTTTATTGATTGATTTGTATCTAGAATTTTGAATAAGAGTTGGCCGTAACCCAGGCCTTCTCCCTCTCTCAGTGAACAATGAGTAAATTAACCCAAATGCACAGCAGTCCTGCACGTCATAGGGAGCTCTGTTACACTTTAGGAGCACATCACTAAGAGAGCCGAAGCATTTTAGTTTTCAATTTAGCTGTATTCCTAGTCCTTACCTCCTTTACCATTCACAATGAGCTTCTCAATGCGGAACGGTGCACATCTAATCTGGATAGGCCTACTGGTTTGTTGCCTTGTCGACATGGGGGCCAGCATGGAGTTCACTGGTGCAGAAGGCCAGTGGGCAAGGTTTCCCATGTGGAACGCCTGCTGCGAAAGCGAAATGAGTTTCAACATGAAGACCAAAAGCGCTCATGGACTTTTAGTGTACTTTGACGACGAGGGATTCTGTGACTTCTTGGAACTGCTCATCCACAATGGTAGACTCAGTTTGCGGTTCTCCATCTTCTGCGCCGAGCCAGCGACCGTGTTCTCAGACACAGCCGTCAATGACAGCCGCTGGCACGCCGTGACCTTGCGCAGGAATTTCAAAAACACTACTTTAGTTGTGGACGAAGAAATCAAGTGGGTGGAGGTAAAGTCGAAACGGAGGGACATGACGGTCTTCAGCCATTTATTCTTAGGGGGGATACCTCCTGAACTGCGATCTGTAGCATTACGCCTCACATCTTCAGCCATAAAAGATGAGGTTCCCTACAAAGGATGGATAACCAACCTGAGAGTGAACGGCTCGGAGCCGGTGCTTATCGGTAGCGATGGAGTCAACAGCGACATTTGCGAAGCCGACCACATTTGCCTGAATGGAGGAGTCTGCAGCATTGTCAACGATGAGCCCATTTGCGACTGCTCTGAAACGGGATTCCAGGGAAAAGACTGCAGTGAAGGTAAGAGGCCTGGATTCGTCGTCTCCGTTGAGGTGTTGAAATGTCTTTTCAAACACAGCCCTTTCACTTCTTTTTTTTTCAGTTTTCAACATTGCACTAGTTCCTCAGAGGCAGTGCATGCTACATCATGTCTTTTCCCGGCCTCCACATACAGGCCCAATACATTACATGATTAGATTACAGTCAGAGAGTGCCTATTTCAGAGCATCCACAAACACCCTGTGTTTTTGCTAACAATGACGTCAGAGAAGCCAAATTAACTTAATATACTCTTGACACTGCACTGGCATTACAATTAAGTATGAAAATGATGCTGTATACATGCACACAAGCCCATGATTGAAGTATGGTGATTTGAATATTATTCTCCTTCGGAATTTTAAGGGGTTGGATGCTCTAATTACGTAATTAGCCAGATGTTCCATAGAGTCACTGTAATGACTTAGCCAAAGTTGCAATTCTAGTACATCACAGGAAAAAAAATAATAATGACATGCTCAATACAGCGTTCAGCAACCATAACAAAGCGTTTATTATTCCAACTTCACTAGTAAACCTCCACTACTGCACTTAGAGTGTTATTTTAACAACATAAGCAATTAAAACAAATGATGATGTAAATAAATGAATGGGGGGGGGGGGCGTTTCTGCTTCTTTTTTGTGTGAAAATTGATGGTTGTATGCACATCAACACTTTAAGATTTCCATGTAAAGTCTGTTCCCTTTTGAATATGTATGTTCTGGTTGGTTTCCAAGTTTGACTTACTCCCTTGGTGTCCGATTTCACTGTTTTTATGTTCTTTCCATCTTTTTCTTCATTTTTACAACCGTCTCTGTGGACTGATCTTGATGTTGATGGATATTGTCTGGGTTAGGCCGTAAGCCGTAAAGGCACCATGTTGCCAAGGAAACTACATACCCACTGAGTAAATTTTGCCCTCCTGAAGCACAACAGAGAGACAGTACGTTTCACTGACAAATGTTCAAACTAGAATAGCAGTCGTGGTACGGTCTCTCAGAGAAATACATTGTGTAGTGGATTTGATGAGATTACGACAAAAGGGCAGGGCCCGCAGATGCTCGGCAGCTTGCTTTAAAGCAAGATGTGCCGCTCTCCAGCCAATGTGCTGGTATAAATGCGCATCTTTGGCGGGTGAGTCAGAAAAGACCTGCCCACGCAGCTTTGAGTGGCCTCCATCACGCGCTTTTGGATGACACATGAGGATATGTGGAGATGGTGGAGGCCACGGGACGTGTCGCTCTGAATCATTAGCATTTTTATTTAATTTTAGAGAATCTTCTCGAGGCTAGAGGTGTTAGGTGCTGGCGCTGCCTGTTTTCCCTTTATCCCCACTTTGGATTGAATTGATGATTTAGTTGATCAATGGACTAATAAACATTAATCAGGAAGAGCTTTAGTAAGGAATTTGGCTTGGTGACAGGAGCCAAAAGGTTTATTTGTTTTAACCGATCCATGATGGACAAAGTAAACTGTCGATATGTGTGCACAGTTAAAGTCAGAATTATTAGCCCCCCTGAATTTAATAGCCCCCACATTTATATTTCCCCTAATTTCTGTTTGATGGAAAGATTTTCCATTTCTAAACATAAGATAAATGTATGCTAAACGTAATAGTTCAAATAACTAATTTCAAATAACTGTTTTTTTTTATCTTTGCCATGATGACAGTAAATGAAAATTTACTAGACATTTTTCCAATACACTAGTATTCAGCTTAAAGGGCAATCTAAAGGCTTAATTAGGTTATTTAGGTTAACTAGGAAGGTTAGGTTAATTAGGCAAACCATTGTATAATGATGGTTTGTTCTGTAAACAATCAAATATATATATAGCTTAAAGAGGCTAATAATTTTGGCCTTACATTAAAAAAAAAAATTAAAACCTGCTTTTATTCTAGCCAAAATAAAACCAATACAACTTTATCCAGAAGAAAAAAAATGATATCAGACATAATGTGAAAATGTCCTTGCTCTGTTAAACATAATTTGGGAAATATTTAAAAAAGAAAAACAAATTCAAAGGTAGGCTAATAATTCTGACGTCCACTGTATGTACAGTACAGGTATAAAATATACAAATTGTGCAAGGGATTGTGAATAAGAAATATAGTTTGTTAAATATAGTGTATTTATTTATTTTTTTAATAATTATAATGCAAAAAACTAGGAACCATTTTGCTTTTCCTAATGTAAAAATATTAAAATAATCACAGGAATCAGTTTAAAGAACCGTTTGAGAGTTAAAAAGTTTCCATGAATCTTCAATGAACAATACAAAGAAAAAAATGGCAGAGAAACACGGGCAACTGAATATTTATGGCAATGATGTGCTTACGATGTAAAGGTTTTCCATTACATTAAAAAACAAATCATGTACTGTACATCTTATGAAAATTACAAAAATCATGTTTTTGTAGTTTACACAGACACAATAATGATACTGTTTACAAAAATGTGACAGTTGAAAACCGCTCAAAACATTAGGATTTTGTTCAAAATGCAATTTTTATGTAATTAAATTATAAAAAAAAAATAATCAGTTAGGTTGGAAATACAGTTGAAGTCAGAATTATTAGCCCCCCCACCCCCCCCCCCCCCCAGAATAATTAGCCCCCCTATTTTTCCCCAATATCTGTTTAACGGAACACATTTCTAAACATAATCGTTTTAATAACCGAATTCTAATAGCTGATTTCTTTTATCGTTGACATAATATCAGTGCATAATATTTTAGATATTTTTCAAAACACTTCTATACAGCTTAAAGTGAACTTTAAAGGCTTAACTAGGTTAATTAGGTTAATAACACTGGTTAGGGTAATTAGACAAGTTATTGTATAACGATGCTTTGTTCTGTAGACAACTGAAAAAAATATATAGCTTAAAGAGGTTAATAATGTTACCCTAAAATGACTTTAAAATTTTTTAAACTGCTTATACTCTTGCCAAAATAAAACCAATAAGACTTTATGCAGAAGAAAGAATATGATCAGACATACTGTGAAAATTTCCGTGCTCTGTTACACATCATTTGGGAAATATTTTAAAAAGAAAAACAAATTCAACTGAATGGTCAACACACATTTAAACTAAACTTTACATTTAGATGTTGGATGTTGTTTTTTATTCAATAAATCATTTTCCCCTCTGTAGAAAATCTTCCCTCTCAGAAAAAAAGCTGACCTTTCCTAAGGTCTTAGATTTTTTTTCACTTTTAATAATTTATTATCGCAATGACTAATCTCCAAATGCCACTGTTAAGGACACGCCAGCCATTATGATGGCTTAATTCATCAAATAAACCAGATATAGGCTTGCCGTGGTGTTCATTAAAACAACAGCATCGTTTTAAACTCCTCTTAGCCTAAATCTGTCCCAGCTTCAGTTATTAATGCAAATCTAGCCCTGCTTAGGAGAAAGCAGGCCACTTTGACTCATTCTGCCTCCATTCAGTCATTTGGTGTGTTGTCAGCTTCATGACTGAGGTGATCTGTTAGCTGACCAGCAACCATCGTTGCCAATAAAACACCCCGGCTTGTGTTCAGCGCAGATGGAAATCTAGTAGCTGCATATTAAATAGCTCATTGATGAATTGCTATTTTTCGCTTCAGAAACATGCGCTTTTATCTCAGTAGCCAAGGAAAAAAGTCAAGCATCACGAGAGATTGTGTACATGTTTGCAGATCTCAGGCAGGAAAGGGTGGTGTGTGGATTAAATATGTCCTTTCTCTCTGCACGTCCACTCCGTCATTCTCTCGACAGGCAGTTGTGGTAATAACCTTCTTTAGCAAAGCAGGTGTGGGGCTCTCAGCAGGAAAGGCAGTCCGCACAGCAAAGAAAACCACTGCTACGGGTAATGAGATATTTGGCCCTGCTGGGGTTAGAGAAAGGGCCTTATTTTGCGTTATTATGGTTAATGCTCTTACAAGTCTGCATTGGAAAGCCAAAAGGGTCTACTCTGTATCAGCTTGCAGCCATTGATACCTTATCTTTATGCTCTATTAACTGTATAATGTGCTCCGTCTCCCTGGTTAAAGATGGCTGTAAGGGATCTGCAATTGACGTCCGTGCGGTTTCGTATGCTTGGAGACTTTGGTTGGAGAATTGGATTGTGTTGGAGGGCTTGTTTACAACAGCGATTAGATTGTTTCAGCTCGTCTCTTATCTTTGCGGTGGAGCTAACATTGTAAGGGTCCATTCCTGGCTGTGCACTGTGTCGTTTAAGCATATTTTAGATGGATTTTTCTATGCTTTGCTATTGGACCTGTGCATATGAATGAGGGTAGCGAAGTGCAGTTTACGCCCATTAACCCTTTTGCTAACAAAATAAAGGGCTCGCTTTAATTGGGTGCATCAGCGTGATAATTTTAGTGACTTGTTTAATCACGTCACCAGGGGGCTGTTTGAAGATGACAGAAAACAAGCTTCAGCCATAAAATTCTATTCTGCCAATTCCTTGCCCTGGTGTTGTTTTAAAAAAGCAGAACTTGCCTTCGATTGAATATTTAGATAGAATTTTGAATCCTTTATTTGTGTATTGTTTGTTAAAACAATTAAACCATCTATAGGAACCAGTACAAAACCTAAATTGTACTTTACTGTATGGATTAAAACTATTTATGCGTTCCATTGAAAACAATTTACAATACAGGTTTGAGTAATTATAATCAATGGATTTCAATACCTATTTAAATTGCGAAAATGCTAAAAATATAGGTCAAAATACCTGAAAATAGATGAATTCACTTGGTTATATAAGTCACTTTAGTAAAAATAGCTTGACTGAAAGATGTACGCTGTTTGAAAAAATATGTATTTTGTATTCTACAGTCACAGAATATTAAACATGTTGAAGGAATGACAGTTTATTTTACGTGAACTGTCTCTTTAAGTCAATAGACATGCACACAATACCTGCATTACAACATCTACATAAATTAAGGAAATTTGAACAATGCTGGTAATATTTCTGTGATGTGGAAAAATATCATGAAATCCAGTCATATAAATTAAATTAACTGAATAAAATGGTTCATCACAAAATTATGGATGAATATATGAAAGTATGATTGCACGTTGGAAATTTGAGAAGTAAAAAAAAATGTATTTCATAAGTTCCTAAAACAAATGCATTGATAAAATAAAAAAAATCAGATTCATTCATTCATTCATTCATTCATTTTCTTTTCGGCTTAGACCCTTTATTAATCTGGGGTCGCCACTGCAGAATGAAGTGCTAAATAAATCAGATAAGCATTTTAAATCATTAAAACAGATTCCGGTAAGATGAAATCCAACAAAAATAAACAGGATAAAAAAAGTTAATTTGGAAATATAAACTGGCATTAGTTTTTTAATTCACTGCTATTTTGATGACGATGATAATAACATAAAGTTATAGGCCCTATGTACATAAAAAAAAAATAAATAAATAAAAACAGGAAATGCAGGCACTTCAGTATAAAATATTATAAAAGTTCGAGCCCATTTTCTGTCTCTAAACTGTTTATTTTCTCCCAAAATACATTTGTCCAATATGAAACATTAAAATAAATAAATTAGGCAAAGAGGAAACGATGTAAGGAATGATGTAAAACAGTTTAATCTTATATTGTCTTCTACATAAAAAGTATAAAAAAGTCAAAATTGAGTAAATAATGTAAAAAAATATATATATTTTAACTGGTCTGTCTCTTCAAATCACAATGCATTGTACATTACACTTTCTTTAATAAATTAACTCAATACAAACAATCTTGATCGAAAATGCTAAAACACTATTAATTAAGGGAAGTCAACATAAAATGTCTTAACTATTGTAATACTCATGGTCTTTCCCCGTGTCTTGCAATCGACTTTCACCTTCTTTGATCCGACACCATCGCTTGATAATCTTGAACGGAGGGGGAGCCCGTGTCAAATACACTGTATATTGAGAATTCCCCTATCAGTAGCGGATGAACCCTTTCCAGATGGACTAAGCTCACTAATCTCTCTGTACTGTAGATGACTGCAATATGGAACATGCTGCACATTGCTCCCTGTGGGGGAAATGTTAAACTAGATTTGGTGAAGAGGATTAAAATCCCCATCACTGGCGCAGTGACAATACATCAACGTCGTAGCACTATATTTAGAAGCTTTTACAATAAACGCTGTTGATTTGCATATATATTTACCAGTGCTTTCTGCTCTTTGTATCTAAATTCAGAGAAACCCCTTACCCTACATTCACCCAGTTCCAACCGAATGGTCATTATCACAGTTTTTTTGAAGTTTTCGCCAATTGTTTTTGACAGCTAGATCTTTAGTGACTTTGCCGCTGCGCTATGCGGAGCGTACGCTCGTCATGCGATCCCTTTAGGCCAATACGCTTGACAATAACACACACTGACTTCCTGAAAAATGCTTTAATCGAGCATCTGGAGCTGCGGTCCTGTTTGTAAAGGGCTGCATGAGCGCTGGCGTCACATCGCGTTTGCCCCCTGCCTGCGTCGGCTCGAGCTGGAATAATGTGCGTGTAGGTCATCCTCAGTTTCTAGCTCTTGTTCTCTGCCAAATTTGGGGGCAGTATGCAAGGCCAGCACTTAAAAGAAGCTGTCAGCTCGATGAAAGCCTGCATGTCGCTGGCTCTGTGTGAGCTCTGCAGTGCTAAGGAGAGGCTACATGATCCTGATCTGTCAGTCAGTGAAATGTAAATACAACCGCTGTTCGGTCAGCCGGACTCTGAGAAGACCAGGCTGTGCTTATGTGTGTGTGGTGTTCTTTCAAAATGGCTGCTGAAGCCACACACACATACACAGAGATACTGTATATCTACATTTCGGCCTTGTCGTGGCAGGTTTTGTAAGAGAGAACGTGACACGTATATCTCTGCAGTGCGCAGAATAGGTTGAACACAAAATCAATAGAGCGGGTGCTTTTAAACTGCTGTGGAGTCGAGCTAGTTAGCGTCGGTTTAACCAGTGTTATTTTGAATGCCTTCAAGCTGTCAGTGGGATGAGTTTGCGCATTTGTCAAGGCAAGCAGGGTTTTGTCAGTCTCTTCATAAGCTGATAAGAGAGGATAGAAAATCACCTGTCATTTATCACCGCAACACTAACAGCTGAATATTTCTTTGTCATATTTTCTGGCATGGCACGCTTTTTTTTTTCGTTAACGATTTTTTTCTCCTTTGTTTTGTTTATTCATATCTTCATCAGCATTTTTTTTTGTTTTTTGTGGCAGTAGTGGTGCATGCAATTTGTGTTTGGTCTGGTGGAGGAACCGGCTGCGGTAAGTCTCGGGTCATTTTTCTCCTCCTCAAGACGCAATACAAGGAGGTAGGATTGGATGTTTCAACTTTAAGATAGCAAAGTCCACTTTTTTAGGGGGTCTTGGGTGAGTTGATCCAGGGTCACCAGAAGTAAAAGGTGTGTTGAATGAATGCATGAATGAAGGTAATGTACCCTTTTTGTTTTAGAACAGGACAAACAAAAGGTAATTTGGAGTTAAATAAATAAACAAATGCAAATTTTCTATGTAAATGGGGTGATTACATGACATGCATATGCATATACAGGTATTGTACATTTCTTTCTTCCTGACCTGACTGAATGATGTTGTTTTCTCTTAGTAGGTTCATGTTGCATCATATACCGGCATTTTTATTTCTGAACACGTGCATGCTTCCCATCTAGCCCCTGTAAATTCCCCTCACAAGCACCATGAATGCCATTCAGATTGATAAATATTCATTCAAAAGATACAAATTGTTTTGAACAGTCCTTCAAAGCTCATCAAACGAAAAACAAACTGACGTTTAATGTACCATTTCAATATCTCCTGAGGGAAAACAGCATATTTTGCTTTGTACAAAACACTTCTGGGAAATCAAATCGTAGCTTTCAGGGGTTCCACCCATTCTTTCAGTTTGATTTTTAATTGCAGTTTGCATGCTTGCACATAATCATTGATGATACTGTTAAGACTTAATTTCACCATGTGTTTTATCAGCTTTTGAACAACGTGTTACCATCATCTCACCATGGAACAACACACTTTAAGAGTACTATAAAGAGATTAGATCTTGAGGGGGACAGAGGACACTTAAAGTCAAACAAACCCTCATGTCTCCACATTTTTCCATGGTAATGAATGTTTGGCCTGGGCACAGGATGATAAGACGCATGGTAACCACGGTAATCCTCAAGGCTGGGCCACCTTCCAGTCTGCATGCTTCTTAATCAATGTCTCCTTCTCTCTCTTCACGCCTCGGCCGCCCCTCCAGAAGAGGCCTATGTAGGAGGTGGGTACATGGTTTTTATTTTCTATTCTTTTCATCCAACCCCTTTCCCTACTCATGTACTTCTCTCTGTCTTCATATTTCAACCGTTTCTTTTAGAAATATTCTCTATCTCCTCTTTGATTTAAATAATGGTACGCAAACGGTAGATGGAACTGGTGTACACACAGGTAAAAGGTATGCAACTGCATTCAGCTTTGTTATTAAGAGCACTACCTTAATTAGAGGTTGTCAGTAAACACGTGGTTCGCTTCAATCGGTGTGCTCTGCTAAGCAGAAACCAGAGGCTGGAGCAAAATGGATGCCATCTTGTTTAAATTACCTCTAAAGATGCAGACACATGATTAGCTTCGTTATGAGCTTGAGACATCTAATATAGAAGCTGCGTCCCAAATTGCACACTATAGACTATGCTCAAATTCACTATGTACTTCTGCACCTACACACTCAACAGCATAGTATATGTATGTAGTGTCATCCTAAATGGAACACTAATGTTTTTTTGGTCACATATTATTTTGATGGTCCGTATGTTGAGTTTAAGTTGCATTCCATCTGTATGCCAACTAATTCTCATTATATTATACAGTAAGTAGACTGTTAGGGTTAGTGTTGGGGTTGGCGTTAGGGTTAGTGTAAGTTGACATTTACTTGCAAAGTTTCTTATAGTCAGTTAATTGTCTGTTGAAGCAGCAGTATCAGCAGAAATTAAGCCGACAGTCTACTAATACTCAAATGGACCATCAAAATAAAGTGTTACCATTCTTTTAATAAGCGGAAATTCAGACCATGTCCCAGATGACGTTTAATGGTTGCCAAATTAGTGAAATAAATGACCAAACTACCAAATAATACCTGCCATGAGTATAACCGCATTTACCATCGGGATGTACGATAATCACTCTCGTAGAAGAATTTTGCTCTCACAATCCAAATAAATAAAATAATCCAACATCAGTGCCCGAAAGCTCTGCACTTTCCGCTACATAAGCAAAGCTGCGGTCGTTGAGTGTGTGAAGTGTCCAACTTTACACTTCATTTTACCAGTTGAATAAGTGCATTATCCGAGTATTTAAAGTGCACTCATTATTTTTAGAGTTTTCAGTGTAAACACACTACTTACACTATTTATACTATAAAATGGCGTAGAATGGTGTATAAGTATGCGATTTGGGACGCACATAGAGTGAATAAATGGCATGAAAGGTTCGCTGAAATGGAAAATCTGGGCAATCATGAAGGTAAGTGGTGTAGATCAACTGGAAAATCTGCCAATTCTTACTAACAGAGTTAATAATTAAACTGAAAAATACATTCTCCATTTAGATTTATTCTTTTGGAGGTCTACATTTGTATTTTTCTATATTCTGGCTGTGGCTCACCTTAATAAAGATGAAATGGGCAACTTTGATTTATCCCAGCGTTAGCTATTTTGTTATTACATCAATATTTTTGTGGCAAAGCTTTAAATAAAAATATATGCAACTTTAAGATCCAATCTGTGTATGTCATCTTCTTCCTGTGGAAGGTTGACCAGGCGGACGACATGCTTGATGTTTGGCGGCAACGAAGTGATTTTCTTTTTTTTCTTTTTTTTTTTCTAATCTAGATTTGTCTCTTTCAAGTGTGACCTATAAAGCATCGCAACCGCTGGGTTGAGGAAATGCTTTCTGAATGTTCCCTCACACCCACTCTCTCCCTCACCTCTTGACCCTAAACCCCCCTTCCCACCCCGTACCGCGGGCATCTTCCATTCGGACGATGTCCGTGTGTCAATGTGACAAAAAAAACCTTCCCATGATCCCGTTCTTTGTGCTGACTGTGCTCTTGTCTTCCCTTAAGGTCTTGCGCACCTGATGATGGGCGACCAAGGTATGGGTTTAATTTCTTACTCACCTTTTTGCCTCCATCAGCCTTCTCCATCCTCTCTGCCTTTTTCTCTCTCACTGCCTTGTGCTGAATCCTCCTCATTCCCCTTCACCGCTGGTAGGGATTTACTGGGGCTGCTTTCTTTCTGGCTTGGCGCTGAGTCAATGGATGGTTTGGTCTTTTCCATTTTTTTCCCCCACCCTCTTTTCTGTCTCCCTCTTTCTCGCTCGCTCTCTCTTTCCTTCAGCTCATCTTGCCGCTTCTTTTGCGCTTGAGTTTTTTTTCCTCTCAACAGCCCCGCTATTCCATTGCTGCTTGCCAACTTCATTTTCATATAGAGGGGGAAAAAAAACTTTCAACCCAGTGGATGAAGTGAGTTACAGAGACTTCTCTCAGGGGTTTGTTCGCTCTTTGTAAATGTGCTCGTCTGTATTCTCCAGCTCTGAAAACTGGAAAGCATTAGCCATCTGTTCGATATTCATGCATTCTCCCTCATCTCTCTCATAGTCATGTTCTGGCATGGTTTTTTATTTTTGCGACAGGAAGCTTCCATTTCCACTGCCTGCCCTCTCTTGTTAGTTTATTTCTTTATTTAATTTTGGGTCCGCAATGCATGGAGTCTCTTCTAAACGTAACCTTTCATTTTTTTCTGTCTCTGAATCTAACACGCGGTCATGTTTCTGACTGTTGCCTCTTTCCTCTCCTTTGTATTTTCCTGTATCTCTCTGGACTTTCTCTTCATGGAACCATTATATCAATATCATAGGGAAAAGAAAAGGTATATAATGCTTCTTTCATACTCTGTAATAATGTAGTTTAACTTTGTAAGCTCTTCATGTATATTCTTGTGGCTTTTTTTTACACATGCATCTGTTTATTTGTGTGTTTGTGGAACTGAAGTCTCAATGAATTTTCTGTGTCACTGCCTGAAAATATGTCGCGGCTGGAAGGTAGGTGTGATGTCATGAAAATGAGTTTGCACCATTTTATGATGTCTCAACGAATACTGTGTAGGAATAGACAAATAGAACTCATGTGTACATTATTTTAGCAGCAACACAATTATTTATTAATTGATCACGTGCAATATATATATATATATATATATACATATATACTTATGATATATATATATATATATATATATATACTGCAGCAATAAATGAAATAACCACACAAAAGAATTAAAAGCACATACAGATTTGGGACGCATACAAATACACAAAAATAAACAAAACAGGTAAGAGCACTTCATGATGTACGGATTTTCATATTCGTAGAACATTCCATACAGTCTGTATGCACACATGCACATTAATATGGTAGCTCTTTGATGTTCAAATGCAATTTTTGTGGAGTCCGGTGAGATCCAGCAGAGGTAAGTGGACCAAATCTGCACCGTCACCACAGCAAGCGCTCACACCCTGCACAAGCCACTGCATGCTGGTTTATCCACTGAACTTTAAACACCACACACAAACATACACAGACTGATGGGGTTTGAAATATGAGGGATCCGTGATTGGCGGTGCAGGTAGGTGTGCTTTCTGTCTTTCGCGGGTCTCTTGATTGTGCTCTGTAAGGCATTGACACCCAGGCCATCGAGTTATCCTGAATGGGCTAATGCCCACAGGAGATGTGGCGGCTTCAGGCTTCTCTTAGCACATTTGAATACATTTTCAGAGGCATTTATATTTTTCTCTCATTCCATTTTCTCATAGAAAATTGGTTTTCATCTGTCTGTAAAATTGAATCAAATGATGCGTGTGGCGGCTGACCTTGCCAGCAGGGTCACGATGGCTTTATCAAATGAATTTTGCATTGTGTTATTTGTCTGTGGATATATGTTTGCGTATGAGGAGCATAGCTGTTCTGGAGAAATGAAATTAAGTGAAATTTGCATTTCTTGTTCATTTATATTCTGTTTATTGTTTGCGTAGCATCTTCTTAATTGCACACATTCCGTTACATGCTCTAGTGACGTCCTGCAATTAAATTGAAACAATTACAACACAGATTTACCAATAATTGAGGCTTAATTAATAACCAGGCAGTACATAATATAATCAGAGATGAAGGAAAACTTCTGTTTTCTCTCAGTCCTAATATTGGTATCTTCCGTTGAGCTCTGCATTGCTAATATAACTATTTCACTGAATGAAAGTTTTTCAATTTGAAGTCTTATTACTTCTATTTAAATGTAAAATGACATTATTTGCTGAAAAGGAATAAAGTAAATATTTTTCATAGAAGTTTCATTCATAATTAGGCTTTGCATGTATATGATAACTAAAGTTATGGAAAAAGGTTGTAGTTTAAGCTATTCTGTTTCTCCCAAAGGAGTGTTTAATTTTTTAATAAAGTTTTTAGGCGTAAAATAGGAAAAGCGCATCTATCAGCCAGCGATTTTACATGCTTGTCATCTTAGCATTCGTAATGAAAGTTTTGGCTGGTTTTTACAAAAAAGCCTCGTAAGATTCGGAATGTTAAAAAAACAGTCTGTGCTAAAAGTCTTACAGCGTCATACTATTTACTAAAAAGCAGTTTAGTGATTATAACACCAATGAAGAGATGAATAAATCAAACAGTGTGTAAAACAGTGTAATGTCAAATAGCTGTATTTTTTTCTGAGGACATTTGTTATATTGCAGTATTAAATGTAAAACTAACTTACAATGCATTTCATCTAGTCAGTCCAAATTCAGATTTAAACTTTAATTGTCACATACACAGTCATACACAATATGAAATGCAGTGAAATGCTTGCACAACCTCTTGTGAACAGTATCACTAATAATAATAACAATAAGAATTTAAACCATGGAGAAAGAAATAGCGTATCACTTTATTTTGATGGTCCCTTTAACGCATTTTCTTGAATTGAAGTTACATTGCATCTACATGCCAACTAATTCTCATTAGAATATTGGTAGACTGTTAGTTTAGGGTTAGGGTTAGTGTAAGTTGACATGTACTTGCAAAGTTTCTTATAGTCAGTTAAGTGTCTGTTGAAGGAGCAGTATCAGCAGATATTAAGCAGACAGTCTACTAATACTCAAATGAGAAGTAATTGGTATGTAGTTTGCAATGCAATGCAACTTTTAGTCAACAAAATGTGCAATCAAAGGACCATCAAAATAAAGTCTTACAAGAAATAATTAAGTTAATAGAAAATAAAGGCAAATATAAAATATTACTCTTGATATTAAAAGACTCTAGATGCCTGTAGAAAAAGTACAAACTATAAAACTATAAAAGAGCTATTTGTACAAACAGAAACATAGAAGTGTTTCTAAAAAGTGTCAGGAGGGGAAGGAGTGTGTACATTTAAATATGTGTTCTGTAATGTATCAAATAATTTTGTAAAACTGAAATGTAAAAAAGGGGTGAAATTCCATTATGATTGAACCATTACATTTTTGTAAACTTGATATGACACACATGACTTGTAGTTATGAAATATACTGTATGAAAACATGATAATAACTGACTATATATTTTAAATATTTGAACATTTTTTTCACAAATTACTAAAATTGGAAAGTGGGATATTTAAAAATAACACAAAACACAAAATATTTTTGTTTATCAACAAACAATTTAAGTTATACATCTAAATGACAGGAATTTTTGCTATATTACATTTTAGGGGGGGTCTATCTGTAAGTTGAGGTAAAATGTATGATAGTCATTTTTGCACAGAAAATGTAGATTAATTAAACAGTAGTAAAAACTTGTATTGAAGATTTATTTTTATTGCCTGATAAAATGATTATTTATTTTGTATAATAATAATAATAATATCAACAACAACAACAATAATAATAAATTATTATTATTATTATTATTATTATTATTATTATTATTATTATTATTATTATTATTATTATTATTATTATTATTATTATTATTATTATATCTGTTATCTTTTGGCCTAAAAAATAACTACATATGTAATTTAATTGAATAATGTTTTCATTTATTTTTATCTCTTTTGTCTGTGTAATTGTAATCCATTTCCCTTTTATATGATACTGGGTCATGTATTTAGAGACCTTTGAAGATCAGGGCTCTTTGAGCAGTGTCCTTGCTTTCAGCATGACTGAACTCCATGCCCTTCCTTAGATTTTTTTGAATGTTTATGTGCGCTTCCCTCTGGGAATGCATAAGCCCATTTTTACGTGACATTAGCCGGATCGAAGACAAGTGCAAATATCTTATTAAAAAATGTGCCGCGCAGCATAGATGAAGTGTGCGTCTGTGAGATTGTGCTTGTCTGCTCTTTGCAGCCGCATTACCGTCGTTCTTATGCTAAGTTGCTTTGGGGAGGATAAAAGATGTGCGGTAATACGGGTGGTGCGCAGAAGGCCGGTGGGTCTAATTGCTGTCATTTCACACAGAGAGAAGCCTGTGAAGCTGAATCGTTGCTGCAGGCGCTGTAAAGCCCGGTTCACAGGTGGGACTACACTGACTCCAAATTAGAATTCCTTAAGTCTAATTGACGTGACGGCATAAAGAAAACCAACAGCTTGAGTATTTATAGTAAATCCTCTGAATTGTAACCTCCCTGCACCTGTTTAAATGAGAAGTGTTGTGGTAAATGTGCGAAATTCGTTCTATTCCTGAAAAGTCTTTATGCATTTGCTCTCATTTTCAACCTAGTCACAGTGGAAATATGTTTCTCTGCGTATCATTTTGCTAAATTTTATCTACCTACCTCACTTGCTCCAGAGTTAGTAAAATACCTTCTGGACATTTTCATTCAAATTATGATTGAGGCAGATAATTGGACGAGTGATCAAAGAGGATTCTTACACAATAGGCTACTATGTTATGTTCTCAAATGGCTACATAATACATATATATTCCATCATACACCTGTTGCTTTTCTAGTATAGTAGCTGAACTGGTGTAGTGTTACACTTGTGATGCTGAGGAAAACATGACTAAGACCATTTAAGGCAAGTCATTTTACTAGCCAAACATCTTGAAATGCCTCTCAGGCAGCTAGTTCAGTCATACAAATACAGCTATCTTTCTGAATGGGCAACCATCAAATTCTCTGAAGCTGTTCAACAAGCTTATGATTACATTTTATATTTGAAATTGCCAGTGAAATCTGACAACATCTGTCTCATAAATTTTCTCTCTTATTGTCAAACAGTGTACCAAAAGCAAATGGTTTTTCAGGCTAGACAGGCCAATGCATGTGCTCCACTTATCTGGATATTTCATTTTTAAACTGCCATGATACACCGATATAATAAGGCATCAGAAAGAGCATGCTTAATATATTTTGGAAAAAATTAAAAGGTTAGTACATTCAAAAAATAAAAATGTTTTTAATTACTCACCCTTATATCATTCCAAACCCCTGAGATTTTTGTTCATCTTAGGAAAACATACTAAGATATTTTAGGTGAAATTTGAGAGCTACCTTTCTCCATAGACAGCAACGACCTGAAGATACAAATAATAATAATAATAATAATAGTAATAATAATAATAATAATAATAAACTTTTCAAAACAGACCACATACATTCAGTCATTCATACTTTTTAGAGAATACATTTGTGCAGACATAAACCAAAATAATGACCTTATTTTACTGTTTCCTCTTCACAGTGTCAGTATAGGGTGCGTGTTCACGAAAGTATTATGCTGTTTAATCATGTGACGCTTGATTGCACTGCTGATTTATACCTCAGATGTGCCAGTGCTTTGTTTCAAGCAGAGGAAGATACCCTTGGGCATAAGGTGTATACAACATTGCATA